ATTAAAAAGATTAAAGATAAAAACAAATATAAAATCATTCACTTGTATGCACAGCTAAAAAGAACTGTTTTCAGTTCAGTTTTAAAAACTGCTAGAGTAGACGCCTGTCTCACATTCTCGGGAAGACGGTTCCAGACTCTAGCTGCATGAATCTGAAACGCAGCCTCCCCATGTCTAGTTCCGACTCTTGGCACTAACAGAAGTCCAGTCCCTGTGCTCCTCAGAGTCCGAGTTGGTTCATATGGCACCAACATGTCGCGGATGTTCCCTGGTGCGAGGCCATGGAGAGACTTGTACACAAGTAAAGCTGCTTTAAAGTCTATTCTCTGAGCCACAGGAAGCCAGTGCAGAGACCTGAGGACCGGACTAATGTGGTCGTACTTCCTGGTTCTAGTCAGGACTCGAGCTGCAGCATTTTGGATGTACTGCAGCTGTTTTACCGCTTGTTTAGAGAGACCTGTGAACAAGACATTGAAGTAGTCCAATCGACTGGAGACAAATGCGCAGTGGATAAGAATCTCCAAGTCTGTTTTAGACACTATGTTTTTAAATTTTAGCAATGTTTCTTAGGTGGAAGTAAGTGATGATGTCACAGATGTATATGTGGCTATTGAAATTTAAGTCTGAGGTCCATTTTACTCCCTAGATTTCTGACCTGAGTTGAGGGTTTTAGGGAGAGAGACTGGACGGGTGGCAGATAACGCTTCTCTTTGTTTTTGAGGTCTCCGAAACAATCATTTCAGTTTTTTCTGTGCTTTAGCTGGAGAAAGTTATTTTGCATCCAATCACTGATTTGTTGGATACAGTGAAGGAGCGAGTCCACTGGTCCATGTTCTCCTGCTGTCAGGGACACATAGACCTGAGTATCGTCCAGCATATTTGTGATAGGACACGTTATTACTGTGTATTACCTACCCGAGGGCCGCAGGTACAATATTAAACAGGAGAGGCCTCCAGGATTGATCCCTGTGGCACTCGCGATGGTTAGGGCAGGATGGTCTGCGATACTCAGTTGTCCGATCTCCACAAAATACTTTCTGTCCTGTAGGTAGGACATAAACCAGCTTAGGGCGTTGTACCAGAAACAACCAACCCAGTCCTCAAGTCTCTGAATGAGGATACCATGATCGACAGTGTCGAAAGCAGCACTTAAATCTTAACAGGATACAGAACTGAGACTTTTCCTGCGTCAGTGTTACGGCTGATGTCATTTGTTACCTTCAGCTAGAGCGGTCTCTGCCTGCTGTGGGGTGGGGGTCCCAGTACTGGAAACACATCAAAAGAGTGATTGGATTATTTAAACATTCTGTAAGGTTGTTGATAGACAACTTTTTCTAGAATTTACCCATGACAGGCAGATTTGAAATCCCCCCACCCCCCCAGGCGCCATAACTTTTAGTGGCCAGGCATCACGACTCTCTTTTGTTAGGAAGGGGTCTGATGACAGCGTTAAAGGGCCCTTGGGAATGATCTCAGAATCAAGAGACATATAGTACACTATGCGTGATGTGAGTTAATAAGATGCTAAGAACAGATTTAAGAAATTAGGATGTATAATACATCCAGCTGCATGTAGAAGGAAGACTCCAGAACTTGTAAAAATCTTTCGGACAGTTTCATTTTGTACTTGTGTTGAAGTGTGTCAGCCCACAACGCTTCCACTGGCTGTTGGATTGTAAATTTTCTACTGTGGAGGTGATGGCATTTTTGATGCCTTGGACTTTGTCATTAAAAACACTCTGCAAAATCATTACATTTGGAATTTGGAGGTACGCTCTGGATGCTCTTACACAGGGGGATTTGTCAACTTTATTTTACTGTTGAGAACCGAACGCGTAGTTGTTACTGAACCTTACCGTCAGGACTCGAGCTGCTGCATTTTGAATGTACTGCAGCTGTTTTACAGCCTGTTTGGACAGACCTGTGAGCAGGCCATTTGTTACTGAACCTTAAGAATCTCCAAGTCTGCTTTAGACACTATGTTGTTGATCCTGGCAATGTTTTTTAGATGGTAAAAAGCTGCTGATGTTACTGATTTGATGTGGCTATTAAAATTTAAGTCTGCGTTTAGACCTTGTTTGAATGGAAGTTGACGCTCTCTCTTTGTTTTGCAATCCAGTTTTGTCTCACTGATCTGTTGCATCCACTCACTGATCTGTTGGATACAGTGAAGGAGTGAGTCCACTGGTCCATGTTCTCCTGCAGTCAGTGAGACATAGATCTGAGTGTCGTCTGCCATAGTTGTGATAGGACACTTTGTTTCTGCGTATTAACTGACCTAACGGCAGCCTGTAGAGATTGAACAGAAAGAGGTCCCAGGATCGACCCCTGTGGTAACTCACAGGTCAGGGACAAATGATCTGAGACACAGTTTCCAAGTCTCCACAAAGTACTTCCTGTCCTCAAGGTAAGACCTAAACCAACTTAGGGCAGTGCCAGCGACGCCAACCAGTCCTCTAATCTTGTAAGAGGATCTCATGGTCGACGGTGTAAAAAGGCAGAGCACTCAGATCTAACAGATTAAGATTGAGACTTTGCCTGCGTCAGTGTTCAGCCGGATATGTTTGTAACCTTAACGCGAGCAGTCTCAGTGCTGTGGTGGGGTCTAAAGCCGGACTGAAACATATCAAATGAGTTGTTGATTATAAGAAATCTAGTAACACTGTAGGTAGACAACTTTCTCAAGGACTTTCCCCATAAATGGCAGATTTGAGATGGGACGATAGTTGTTAAGTACCGTAGCATCGAGACTGCTCTTTTTTAGCAGGGGCCTGATGACTGCAGTTTTCAGGGCCTTTGGGAATATTCCAGAATGAAGGGATATGTTTACTTATCTGTGTGAGTGAAGGTAACAGACTGCTCAGAACAGACTTCAGAAATCTAGTGGGTAGTACATCCAGGCTGCATGTGGAGGAGCTCAAACTGGAGATTATCTCTTGGACAGATTTTGATCATTTACAGGTGCAAATATGAATTAGCTCAGAGAGCCTTTTTGGCTGTTGGATGGTTATCTGTGGATTGGAGACAATGGCGTTTTTGATGCCTTGAACCTTGTCATTGAAAAAATTAGCAAACTCATTGCATTTACGTTTGGAAGTAAGCTCTAATGGCATTTGAACAGGGGGGTTTGTTAATCTATTAACTGTTGAGAACAGAACACTCAGATTGTTGCTGCAGCCTTACAATCATTTCAGAAAAATACCTTTCTCTCGTACTACGTAGCACTACGGTTTAAACTCGCACAACTTATCTTTGAAGATCTCGTAATCAACCTGGGGGTTGGACTTGCGTCACTTCCCCTCGGCCCTCCGGCACTTTCTCTTTTGCTGCCCTGACCGAGTCTGCTTTTAGCCCACGGCGCCTTCTGCTTATTTTTCACTATTTTAACCTTCACAGGGGCAACGGTATCCCGAACATTCAAAACACTAGAGGTGACAGAGTTAAACAGTTCATCTACAGTAGAATACGATGCATTCTCAAAGTTTATCATTCCCATAAATAGTTCACTCGTATTTTCATTTATGCGCCTTCTTCGAACAGTTGCAGAGTCCACTGGTGGTTTGTTAGTGAAACACATGTAAAAAAAAACACAGAAATGATCCAAAAGAGCAACATCGACCACGTTTACATTTGAAATATTCACCCCCTTAGTAACTAACAGATCTAGAGTGTGCCCTCTGCTGTGGGTGGGGCCACTTACGTGCTGAGTGAGATCAAAGGATTCAAGTACAGAACTCAGCTCATTTGCATTTCTGTCATCAACATTATCCACATGAATATTAAAATCACCTGCAATAACCAAACTATCAAAATCTGTGTATACAACTGAAAGCTACTCGGTAAAATTATCAATAAAACTGTGACATGACTGCGGTGGCTTGTATAGGACAATGAAGAGTATTGGAGGAGATTGTTTTTGTTGTATTTTAAAAGACACATATTCAAATGACGAAAACTTCCCAAGAGACATTCTATGGGAGACAAAGTGGTCTCTAAAAATGGCAGCTAAGCCTCCTCCTTTTTTGTTTTCACGTATTTCAGATTCAAACTTGAAATTTGGTGGTGATGCTTCTATTAAAACTGCATTTCCTGAATTTTGGTCAAGCCAAGTTTCAGCCATGAACATAAGATCAAGATTATGAGAACAAATAAAATTATTGATTAAAAAAGACTTGTTACAAAGAGATCTGACATTAAGCGTAGCAAGTTTCAAAGTTTCAGTATCAGCGGTTGTGGTCGGCTGATTCTTACACGGAACAAGAATTAGATTTTCTAGATTAGACTGATTAACTCCAGATGTTTTTCTGTAATGTATTCTTTGTGTTATCACTAAGGGAATGGCACAGGTGGCTTCATGACCGGGCCCCAGCCGGGTCTCTCCTCTAACTAGACTGCCAGTGGCTGGGAAGGGGAAGGCGGGGGAGGAGGATGGAGAGGTGGGTGGCTTTTGGGTGTTGAACGAGGGGGGCAGGGAGGTGGAGGGGTTTTTGGTGATGGGTTAGGGCCGGGGTGGGCTGAGGCAGAGGTTTTGGGTGTTGAACGAGGGGGAAGTGGGGGTGGAATGGGAATGAGCTTAGGGGAGGGACTGGCTGAGGTGGTTTTTGTAGGTGAATTGGAAACCCTAGGTGGTTTTGGAGGTACATATGGGGAGTGGTTTTGAATGTTGGAGAGGACTCTAGATCTAGCTAATATGGGTTTGAGAGGAATAGTCTTCATCGCCGATTTTATTAGCCCTGCAGAGTGTTCAGGTAGGTCTAACAGTGAAGGCGGGGATGAAAAGCAAAGGGAGGTGTCCCCATTCTCTCTTGATGGAGTGGACGTGGCAGGGGGGACCCAAGACAGGTCCATGGGAGGTGGCGAGGGAGTCTTTGATGGAGGGGCAGGTGGTTGAGGAAACCCCAGCACAGGCCTGTCTGCTGTAGGCTGGGGTGAGGATGGGGGCTTCAGAGGCGCTGTAGATGAAGAAGGCGTGGCTGCTTTGGAGCAGGCTGGGGATGAGGATGTTGGTGGTGGTGGTCGTGCTGCTGGTGGTGCTACTGGTGATGATGCAGCTGCTGCTGGTGATGATGCAGCTGCTTCTGATGACAGTGGAGGTGTTGAGATCCTTTGAGGCGGTGATGGTGTTGAGATCCTTCGAGGTGGTGGTGGTGTTGAGATCCTTCGAGGTGGTGGAGGTGTTGAGATCCTTCGAGGTGGTGGTGGTGTTGAGATCCTTCGAGGTGGTGGTGGTGTTGAGATCCTTCGAGGTGGTGGTGGTGTTGAGATCCTTCGAGGTGGTGGTGGTGTTGAGATCCTTCGAGGTGGTGGAGGTGTTGAGATCCTTCGAGGTGGTGGAGGTGTTGAGATTCTTCGAGGTGGTGGTGGTGTTGAGATCCTTAGAGGTGGTGGAGGTGTTGAGATCCTTCGAGGTGGTGGTGGTGTTGAGATCCTTCGAGGTGGTGGTGGTGTTGAGATCCTTCGAGGTGGTGGTGGTGTTGAGATCCTTCGAGGTGGTGGTGGTGTTGAGATACTTCGAGGTGGTGGAGGTGTTGAGATCCTTCGAGGTGGTGGAGGTGTTGAGATCCTTCGTGGTGGTGGTGGTGTTGAGATCCTTCGAGGTGGTGGAGGTGTTGAGATCCTTCGAGGTGGTGGTGGTGTTGAGATCCTTCGAGGTGGTGGTGGTGTTGAGATCCTTCGAGGTGGTGGAGGTGTTGAGATCCTTCGAGGTGGTGGTGGTGTTGAGATCCTTCGAGGTGGTGGAGGTGTTGAGATCCTTCGAGGTGGTGGAGGTGTTGAGATCCTTCGAGGTGGTGGTGGTGTTGAGATCCTTCGAGGTGGTGGAGGTGTTGAGATCCTTTGAGGTGGTGGTGGTGTTGAGATCCTTCGAGGTGGTGGTGGTGTTGAGATCCTTCGAGGTGGTGGAGGTGCAGAGACTTTTAGAGTCGGCTTCCTCCCTTTCGATGGCTGCACGCGCTGCGCAGGCTGAGGACTCAGGGCAAAAGAAAGGTTATCCATCAACACTTTTACTCCGTAAGTGTTCAGATGTGGCCCTTTCCCTTCAAAAAGCTCATGCCTATTCCAGAACAGATTAATCCTGGTTTAGTCCTGATTCATCTCCTGTTTTGTCTCCCCATGACGGCGGGAGAGGCAGTGGACACGGAGACCCGATGCATGCGGCGAAAGCATGCATCGGGTCTCTGTGTCGCATGCCTCTGCCTCGCACGGACACGCATAACCATTGACACGCCATTGAAAAACAATCTTAGATCCATGGGCATTTCCCAAAATGTTTTGCGGTTCCTGCCCGGCTGTGATAGGTTGAGAAGCCTATGCCTACATCCTGTGTTTTCTTCCTGTTTTTTCTTACAGAGGGAAGTAAAACTATCGAACATTCTATCGACCCCGCGATAGACCCACGTGTACTGTATATTGTTATCGTTTTATCGCCCAGCCCTATTATATGACTATCGGCTGAATATGTGGCAATTGAACCATGACAAAATTATGAAATCACTGATTGTATATGACATTCTGAAATATATGTAGCCATTTAGTGATTTCGTAATTTTCTTGAATGTATGATAATCGAGAAACCGGACATGTTTTTGCACATGAAAACTGTAACTATTTGTCAAATTTGATCTTTCAATCCAAAACCTTGCCAAACCATTATAAATCTTTCTATTGTGATATTTGAACCTCAGTCCAATAGACCTTCTTCAGTGCTGCCCTTTCTGTCTCTGTGCAGTGACACTTGTCCATGTTTAAAAGCTTTCCAAACAGCCACCTGCAGAGTTCAAATCAATCCAACTTCCCCTGGAAAAATAAACCCCAACAATGAATCTCCCGGCCGGAAAATCAAACAAGAAGTGACCGGCTAAAAGTCAAATGTCCATGAGTGCAGTGGACAGAGAAGCGGCCAAGCAGTGCTACTTACAAACAAACCCAACACGAACACAGCCACAGCCGCAACAGTGAAAGTAGGGCATAAGCAATTTGCACTAGATATGTTACGCACTAAATCTGTTGGGAGAAAACGTGTCTGTTATGCTGGAATATTTTTTCCTTTTCAAGCTCACACACTTTACTTTTAAGAAAACAAGATAGAACAAGTTATATCTTACAGTCACAAGTGTCATTGAGAGATAGAAATGGAAAGATAGCCATGGAACCTGCAGCCAGACAGACTTTAATGTCTCTATATGATTGCTATATATGATCATATATGACAGCCATGGCTCATATACAAAAAACAAGTAAAAGTATGTTTGAGATTTCAATATTGATGTAAAACAACTATAGCACAAGTCAATTTATTTGATGTTGGATTTGGTTATGTCTAGTTTTCTGTAACATGAACCTGCCAGGGGGTCTGCACCAGCTGCCAATTAACTCCATTCATATTTAAATGTGTTAAATTAAAATTCATTGTTCCTTCAGCCTGGGAACCCATGCTGCTGTGTGTGCTGGACTTATATCAAATTGCGCAACATGTAGTCTGGGTTCAGCCTGTAATCTAAATTCTGAATTTGAATAAACTCTATGTGTACATTTTCAGTGAAGGGTGTACAATAATGGGGTATTTTACTCAAAAGCACATTGGTTTGCATTGCCAATTACTACAACTGCAACATTTTGGTATGCATGGCCTTACTTTACAATCTAAATCAGTTAAAACATGAATTTCCTGATAATACAAAACAGTTTAGCTCTATCTAAAGTACATTCATGCAATGGGTTATATATGTGTGACTTGGGACGTGATTCTAAAAGAGCCGATATCTTCCTTTGAAAATAAAGCCCATATACACACACACATACAATACGCAATTAGCGCAACCATGGTAATTACATTGCTTGTTCTTGAAAGTTAATTGATTGTCTGATGCCAGCACTCATCGTGAGACGCCGCTGGACCGGAATCAATGCAAAATGCCATTAGCTTTGACTGCGTATAAATGTCAATGTGTGGTCGTTCATTTATTTTACACCAAAATGTCAAACGGTTAAACTTTATTCAGTTACAGAGCAGCAGCAGAATTGGTTAGATGAGATTTGCGTGTTGCATTTTGAACTCTGGACTTGGCCACAGCTGCATCAGTCCGTCATGTTGACTTTTTAGGTCATTTTTGTGTCATGTGGCATTGAGGTGCAGACGGTCAAAGAGGCCACAATCTGAGCTGAACAGAAAGGGAAACCAATGGGATTTTGACACGTTATTCCAATTACGGCCGCACGGTTTTAACAAAATATAGAAATAATGAATCAGTGAACAAAGCTTGAATTATATATTTTAACATGAAAAACTCTTGAAGCTGATTTTGCAGTGGGACAAGTATAAAATGTCTTGTTATACTTAAAAGTAGTAGAAGAAGACAAGACCTTTCTCACTTAAAAGGACAAATTCTATTCTTAGAGGAAGTCTAAGACACCTAACTTTCAAACTACAAAAATCCAATAAAGTAAATCTAAAAAGTTCCTTACACTAAAACAGTTTGGCTCTACAACTAGTTTTCAAATGCATGGATTTTTTTTTATCAATGTCTCATCTTTAGATCAGTTTTCCATACTGACATAAAACTGAACTCCCAGGGCTCCCACTTACAAGTATGTAAGTACCTTTCCTACACCGGGCAACACAAAATTCTTCACAGTGTCACATATCACACCATGCGCAAGTCATTACACAAAACAAACACCAAAATCACCAGTAAAAGCGCAATTAAAATAAAAAGTATGCACAATATAACAGTCTTTTCATTTCATTTATTCATTTATTTCAGGCAATGGCACTGATAAGTACAAAGTAGACGATACAGTCAAGTCCTATAGTGCAAAAAAGATAAGGTTGTACAGTATATACTACAACTGTATGTTTTCTCTGGTCTGATTTGTTCGCCACAATTTACTATTACAATACTTTCTGTACTTTTGCGACAAATCCCACGCATTATTGACACTGACTCTGGGTGTTTCTGGTGCTGGTTGGTGGAATTATGGGCCTTCTCCGTTGAGGCCATGCTCTGAGCTGGTAAACGCTGGTTCCTATAAAAAGCCTCAGTAGGACACTTTAAACTAGATCGCAGTGGTCTCTGGGGCAGTCGTGAGATCAGACACCATCACTCTGTCTGGAGGTCTGGCTTTCACACAATCACAAAACCCATGTTAGAAGTGTGTCCACATGTCTCTCACCCTAAAGTTGGACTCACAGAGAAACCGAGGTATATTCAACCAACTACAAACAAATAATTTTTTTTTTACTTGGCCATAGTGCTCAGTTATTACAGTGTTCAAGGCCATCTGTGCAAAGATTTGGACATGGAAGTTAACTCTTTGACATGGAGTTTGCATGATCTCCCCCTGTCTGCGTAGGTTTCCTCCAGGTGCTCCGGTTTCCCCTACCACTAAAAAAGGGGGTCTGGCTGTGTCATGTGCAATAGGACTGTCAAGCGCAATAAGTATGGCCACCTCACTCCCATCTCTGTGTGGAGTGAGAGGACAAATGCCCACAAAAAAGAGAGAAAAAAAACCATAAAAAATTACGTGGCTTTGTGACTCTGGTCTGTGAAATAATAATAATGCATCGGTTTTATATAGCGCTTTTTTTGGACACTCAACATGTCATTATTCATTCACGGTGGTGATGAACTACTACTGTAGTCACAGCTGCCCTGGGGCACACTGACAGAAGCGAGGCAACCAGTATGTGCCATCGGCCCCTCCGTCCACCACCAACCACTCACACACACCCACACCAGTCTCATTCCAGGCAATGTGGGTGAAGTGTCTTGCCTAAGGACACAACAGCAGTTTGACACTTTACACACAACGACAGCAGACAGTGGGAGTCAATGGTGGAAGTCTTGAGGGGGGCTCGAACCCACGACCTTCTGGCTCAAAGGCCAACGCTCTACCAACTGAGCTACTGTCGCCCTGGGTCAATGTTTTGTATTTTGGAAGATTAGGATAAGGCAATGTATCAAATCTCTATCATAATGGGTACAAAAAACTCTGATATGTTTTTAAACGTTCAAATGAAAACAAAAACAGGAACTACTCAAATGACCCTGATTAGAAGTTTCCATCCCCTAGTCCCCCTTTAAAATCATGGAGTCTTTTATGGTAGTTGTGGAGGAGGTCTTTATCATATGTGATGGTAAGACCGCTGTCCAAATTTCTGCAAAAAAAGCCTCCATTTCCTGTCATTTCCTGGGCTGCCTTGCATTAACTACATATTGATTAGCTAAATTGTTATCATTTTGAACCAGAAAATGTTTTTTTGATGATATATGGCTTCACTCCACTACCATTATGAGTTCAAAGTAATGAGTGAAATTTTCTGTTTTTCTGCTAGTCACTGTCAATGTTAGTTTTATTTGTATAGCACATTTACAATAATACCAGCTTCCTAAAGTGCTTCACAGGCACGAAAGATGAAAAAAATGGAAGCAAACAACATCAAATACATTCAGCTAGCATTAAGTTTCTCCTAAATATAGCCAATACAATGAAATATTTGTACATTTTCATGCACAACTCTACAGCGACATTATTAAGTTATACTGTACTCAAAATAATTTTCCTGGGGCGAATACTGTGCATTGAACTCCTGTCGGTGCTGTAGGGCCGGATGAACACTATGCTCTCTGTCTCTGTGCACGTAACTATGGAGCAGCGTGAACTGTGGGAGGTATCATTAATATTAACATGTGTGTGTCATTGCAAAGGTCACAGCACAACACATACTCAACACTTATAGTAATCATTGTTCTCAGTAACAGGGCAGGGTTATATAGGGTATTTATATTGGGTAAGAACTGAGTCACGACAAAAATCTGAATCTTTGGAATGCGGCAGTATCATAGAGGATATAAATGACATCATCCTGAATAATAGGCCTTTTCGCACACACCGGTACCAAGAACTATAGTCCCTAAACCACCCAGTTCCCTTTGGCTGTATTCACACTATAAATGAGGCGAAAAAATATTAACTGATTTACTAAGCGCACTTGGGAACATATGTAAATGGTAATATTTTAATAATTCATTAATAATTCTGCTTGACAAACTTTACTGAAGAGCTTTACTGTATAATTATAATTCTGATTAATTTATCAAAATGGTTATCCAACTTACTGTCCTGGCAATTACATATAGGTTTATGTTCATGGATTCAGACTACTGTACAATATAAGTTGTTAAATCAAACAATAAATAAAACATAAAAAATAGAGAAAAGTCAGTGTTGGTTTCTCTGGAAAAAAAACAGCTCAAGGGAAGGATCTACAAAAGCCTCCAAAGCCTGGCACTTCCGAAGTTCTTTTCAGAATCAGACTCAGAATCCTTTTATTGCCATGTGAGTAACAGGAAGTCACAAACAAGGAAATTGCTTTGGCTCATGGTTAAAACAGAATAAAATCAAGAAGGCATGCATAAACAAAAATCAGTTCTTATAACATGTAAAGTGGACGCACCCAAAAATACCAACTTGCAATTGATCAATTCTCTGATCTGTCGGCGAATCAACTACTTTGTAAAGTCCTCCGAGACGACTGCTGCTGTGATTTAGGGCTACACAAAAACACATTGACTTGATTTGATTATTATTTGACAATTATCTGCAGAGCCATATAATCTATAGATACAGATGCGGTTGCACTTCCCCCTGACCTACTTGACTTTTCAGATAAAACCAACAGCAGCAGTGCACATGCAAGTCATATGATAATTATACATTGAAATTCAAACACACACCAGAATACCACAATCACACAGTATTTTGACATAGTGACACCCTGTAGTTGAATGTTTGTGTTGATTAATTGTTGACTAATTAAAAATAAAACTGATATTTATTTATTGATTTATTTAGATCCCCAGTAGCCATCACTATAGTCTTCCTAGGGCCTATTCCATTCTGTAAGAAATAAAATTGAAATAACTTTCAAAATGAGTTGCATGTAAAATAATAATAATAAATATATTAAAATGTGCAGTTTACAAAAAGTTAATAACAATCTAAAATAATATAGTTCAAGCATTTCCTTTACACAATTTAATACAGTTCATTCATACATTGTTTTTTTTTTTTCTTGACGGCAAAGATCTGGAGACTGTTTTTAAATTTGGCTTCATACATAATTTTTATATAATGATTTTTAATGTCCTGTATAATTTCAACCATGATGAGGCAGTATGCATCTCATTCACACCATCCTAAAGGTTTCAATTGTTATGCGCATGTGTAAAGTGTCGGTGGACAAGGAAACACACAACCAGGCACAGAGGATGGGTGAATGACAAAAAAAGCTGAAATTATCAATCATCACTGTGACTGTAAAGCCGGATAAATCTTCATTGATTAGTGTCCTTGTCTAATGATTCAACACTTTATTTTTTTTATTTTGGATGTGTTGCTAGTGTCTGTTCCGACCACAAAAACTATGACTCAGGGATTTTACGCTAAGCCTCACAAACTCTTGTCAGTTGTCAATCCAGGCTTTCCTCGGCACGTAAAGGGGTAATCTCAACTTTCCCTGCTAAGACTTATTTTGTATGTCGCTGGAAGAGTGACAAAGCCTTTTCTCAGGCCCCCAACCGTACATACAATCAACCACACAGTGAGCCATGTGCTTTCGCTAAATCCACCTCCAAACATCCAAAACTATATACAATGCTACCAATGCAACAAAACATAAACAATGAGCTGCAGTTTGTTCAAGTGCCCTGTGTAGAACTAGACCCATAGACAGTATTCCAGATAGAGAGATGGATAGATAGATACTTTATTGATCCCTGTATAGGAGAAATCCAGGTGTGACATAGACCATAGACTGGACCACAGTTCTTATGACTGATGGGAGGGTAAATGGTGCACACCTGAACAAAGCAATGCATCTGCCCATGGATATAATCAGTACATAATATACACAGTACATGGGGGTAAAAAATAGATAAAGAAATACCTGCAGTGTATAATGTAGTGTATGGGTTTACAGCAGCTGAACTGGATAGTCATGCTCATAACCTGTCTTCTCTGAGTGCTCCCAAAGCTCAAGAGGAGGATTAGATCCATAGACAATAGGGAAGCTGCTATATTAAAAAGCCAGCTATGCATTAACAAGCAGAGTGTGTGCAGAGAAGAGCACCATCTTAAAGCATCTGAAACGTATGTGAAATTACGTGAAATAAAGCTCTAGGATTTGAGTGAGAAAAGTGATGCTTATGAAAAAGTCCTCCTTTATGAAGTAAACAGGAAGCTGCTGCATTGCACAGAGGTGATGACGAAAGTGGTTTGATAAAAGAAGCTGCTATTTTAGATTTGCTGACATGAGCCTGAAATGTAACTGGTTATATTAACAATTATTATAACTCCTTTATTTGATATTGATGACAACAATTCTCCAAAGCATAACTGAGGACTCGTTCAAATACTTCACCTACCCTTTTAGACAACACAGTAATGTATTTATGCATCATATATCAATACATCAATAAAAATCTATGTTTATAGGACAGTCCATACAAAATGCAACTGAAAGCTTTTCACATTGAGCAAACAGTCAGCAAATCAAAACACACTGTAAAACACATACCAAAGGCAATTTTAAATGTGTTTTTAAATGTAAATATTGCCAGGTGTAGCAGCCCATACTCTCAGTGCAGAGGTCTGGAAAACGTTAGCATTAGTTCATACTTCCTTTTGGTCCTGTCTAAAATATGCCATAAAATAATTGTGATTTATAAATTATTTTTAAAAAGCCATAATAATGAATGATTCTTGCAGACAGTTTTGAGTCTTGACAGTAGTGTAATGTTGTGTAAAGTGTAATTGTTGACGGCAGGTTGCGTAGAATAACATTATTTCCACAGTGGGAATAACAATATATCGACACATGTCCGCGTGTGTTTGTTTATTTTGCCACACTAATCTGTTGGCAGATTAAAGCGAATGACAGGCAAAAGCAGGTCATGGCGGTGGTCCCTGCAGCGGCCGGAGCAGAGGCCCATACGTCATGTGACCAAAGCTCTGCCCTCACTGCTCTACATACACAGACACACACTGATGCTTTTAATTTTTGGTTACATTTGGTTTGAGCTGTTGCAGTTTTCAAGGGTTGTCAAAGTTTTTACATGAGTAAGTCAAGTCAAATGTGTTTATAAAGCCCATTTCAAACAATCACAGATGACCAAGGTGCTGAAATTCACAATAATATTTAAGACATGATCAAAGAGAGACTTTATTAGATTTTTAAATGATCAAGTTATGATTGAATATACTTTATCAGAGATGTAAGTGGGATGGATTAGTGGTTGTTGTTCTAATTTTATTTCACAAAGGGCTAGTCTTTAGTGCTACTGTTGTGATTGAACTTGAAACATGCACCAAGATGTTCTGTTGTTGTCTATAGGATCAGCTTTGTCATCGAAACTGACAAAGCTAGATCAATTCATTCTGAGTGGTTCAGAAATTGAGGTCCAAGACAAAATGTTGGAATTTTTACAATTGTTAGCTTTTTACAATGATCAATGAATTTGTTTTGTTTGTGTGTATGTGTTTTTGCTGCTACTGGACACCTGTATTTCTCCTACAGATGATCGATCTATCTGAAGACAACTCTCATATTGAGTATAGGTATAGGTATATCTCCACTTTTTGAACAAAACTCTCTGGTCTTATCTGACGAGCACGTATCACCCGAATGATTGATAATTGGGAGGACCAATAGTCTTGATGATCCACCAGGAAGTAGAAAATCCTCTTTTTGTTTAAAAAATGTGTATTAATCCCATTCTATATGTATTTTCAAGTGTAATTGTGAGGGGGGAAACACTAAATATTCAATCAAAAATATGGTTTTCAAAACAGCAGAAATTAGATATAACTTTGTTGGACATTAAAGATGTTTTAAACGGCAGGATTCCGGCTGCCAAACTGCACCATCAGACTCTGTGAACACCACCAACCATTCACAAATGTACCAGAGTCATACTAGGCAATGTAGGTGAAGTGTCTTGCCTGAAGTAAGTAAGTAAGTAAGTAAGTAATCTTTATTTATATACCGCCTTTCACAGACCAGAGTCACAAAGCGGTTTACAATTGTTATTTTTGGGCACTTATCCTCTCACTCCACACAGAGATGGGAGCGGGGTCGCCAGTACAGGAGGCGCATGCCAGAACTATTGGACATGTTTTTAGTGGTAGGGGAAACCGGAGTACCCGGAGGAAACCTACGCAGACACGGGGAGAACATGCAAACTCCACTCAGAAAGGCCCTGGTCCGGCCAGGATTCGAACCCAGGACCTTCTTGCTGAGAGGCGAGAGTGCTATCCACTCAGCCACCGTGCCGCCCACGGTGCACGCCGCACACTGTCTTCTATCACTGTCCTAACGAGCTTGGCCTCTGAGATTTGTCAACAGAAAATAAAGAAAAATGAATTCTTAACATCAAAGCTCCTCTTACTTGAATACATTTGGTGACAGGTTGATGCTCTATTGTTCAAGGGTCAAGGCCTAAAAGGATATTCTTGTAAACAACTGAACATACACACACACAGTTTTGAATGAGAAAAGTGACCTATGAATGGGCTGGCAGTGCATTAAACCATTAAGAGGGAAGGGGGTGTGTCTGCAGGGGATTTCTAATAATAAAATGTAATTAAAGCTATAGAGCCGCAGGCCTTGATAATGTGACAACAAGCCTCCTCATTCTCTTTCTCAAAGCAAAACAAAATGCTAATTGACATTTTATGGATTTATGTGGCTTGTTGACATGTGACGATTTCAGGGAGAGAGTTAGAAAGAATACTATGATAGGAAAAAATATAGGAAAAATAGCCAACAGCGGGGAATGCATATGACAAGATTTGGATTTCAGACGTCTGCAGGCAAGCCTTTTTTTTTTTTTCTTTTAGAGCTTGACCACTGAACCAGGGGAGGCGGGACTACAGAGCTTGATACAGACTCCACAACATGTATACACTGGGAATGATACGCATCAGACACAGCAGAAATTACATTTAAAAAATCAAAAGTATAATGTAAAAAAAGTCCTTTTTAACTATAATGATAATAGGTATAAACTAATTATGCAGATGTATTGTAACTATAAAGCAGAAAGACTGGTGGTCGATTAGTAAGGCAGGTAAGTGGGACAAAAGAGATTTCAGAGTTCACAAATGACTCATAACAAGCTTAGTCACTAACATAGCCACACATTTGCCTAAAGGTAATGCAAGAATGTAATTTAAAATAACAAATTACTGCGCTTGAGGACAGCGCTGGGAAGCATGAAGTTGAGGTGACTTAATTGAAAAATGGGAAACAACTCTTGGTATTCTGAGCAGCAGCTGAGAGTCTGGACTGCAGTCACACAATATGGATGTGAAGATTAACCAGAAATGTAAATAGACGTTTGAAGACTGCAATTATTTAAGTCTTACGCACACACTGTGGAATAATAGGTAAACAAATGCTTTAATCAATCTAATGTTGACTTGATATTGACTGTAATAAAGTAAAACCTCATTCCCACATTTTGATAATTTGTGTTTGGCATTTTATCATGACTAAGCTTAGTAATGCCCTTTCAGTTTGAAAATACATTTGGTTGAAGCCTGCGGTATAATTATATATTCTTTTAAGTGCATTATTCTTGCTATAGATTAATTGGTCTGTGCTTATTGACCATAATTGTGAGGTTTGTCTAATGTAATGTAATGTCATGTAGTGTAAACTCAGGGGAATTGAGTCACATTTATCTATACATATACTGTATTTAAACTTGATGATGAGGAGGCACTCGTGTTTCTACAGCTGCATGGAGCTCTGCTGGAGGTGGGAAAAAACAATCAGACTTTTGTGAACTCATGATCTGAGCCAAGGCATGTCAAGTATGTCCCTGCACAGCATCCATACTCGGGGCCCTTTGACAGTCCATGCAGGGCTTTGATTTACTGCTCTGTGGATCGAAGCAGTGACAGAAAATACACTGTTTAAAAACATGTAATATCATGCTGTAGATGAAAAGTGTGTTTACTGCAAAGGGAGTGTGCTGTGTACAGTGACAATGTGGAAAATAGATTTAATTGACTATTTTAGAATATTTAAAAAGGAAATATTTAGATTGATATGTAAATGAGGTGATTTAAATCAATTGGTTTAATTTTATTTTTAGAATAAACATACTTAACACACTCGAAAAAGAGATGATTCATCTCAAGGGGCCATCCACAATAAATAAATAAACTTGTTAACTGAAAAGGTCCTGGACTACGACATGCTGTTTTTATTTTATCAAAAACATTTTATAAATTTGTATACTAGTGAGTCTGGTCTCTTTTGACACTTTTCTGTCTGAAAGCAATCGGTCTGATTGATCTACAGATACGGTCTGCTTCAACTGTTTTATTTTGCTATTGGTGAATGAACAATGAAAAGATTTTTTTTTTCCTTCATGTACATAATTACGACATGTTTCATATTTTGAAAGTGCATTTCAGATGTTCCTAATTGAGATTTGGCAAAAAAATAAGAATAAATAATAAGAATAATATGTACTATTGGGGTGTCCTCTGCCCACAGAATTGTTTGTATTGTAGTCACCAATGTCCTGAGTTGGGACAAACCAGTAATTCCCTGAAAAGGTTCAATACAGTTATCTGTTTAGTTTTTGAATCAATCACAGTGGGTGAGCCAGATGCTCTGCTTTTAGTTTTCTAATTTTAATTTAGAAAAAAGCCCATAGTTTGCTTTTAAGATAGAGCAGCTTGCACATTAAGCATTTCTAAATATAAATTAAATAAAACATAGTTCATAAATACTGTGTGATATATGATTTTCTGTGAGGGTTGCCATGGTAATCTGAATATTATTGTTTGAACGTCGCTCAACTGTCACCAGTCCTTATAAAAGGCAGAAAAACCGTTTCGTCATCATTCAAACGCAGGGACGTCGTGTTTGCGGCTGAACTTCATTTGTCCTTAAGATTCGACTCATGATGAATTTGATCGGGATCGCAATCGTTGTTTTGAGCATCACTCCACTGGTGCACAGCTCAAACAATTCTTTTGGTAAGTCCCATTTCTCTTTACTATAGTTTTAGTGTTCAACTGTCACTGCAAATGTGCTCTCAGTTGTGATGGATGAGCTCAAACCTTTTAAAAACATGATCAAATGTATTAACCAGATGTATAGATGGATAAATCTGGGATAAACTTGTGATTATCTTTGTAGAATTGTGGGTGAGATTTGTCAGTTAGCTTTGTAACATGGTTATGGTTACTTTTAGTTGGATAAAAGTGTTAAATATTTAGTTTACATTAAGTTTAGGACCACATTTTTCAAGAACATGTCACAAAAGCTCACAAAAACCATTGAAAAATACTTAAAATAACAGTTAAAACCCATTTTTATTGAAAAACTCAAAGTTAACTGTTACTCATTGGAATGTATGTGTGTTACCACGGCAACCAAAAGGGATGGCTTTTTGCTATGGAGATTATGTAGAACTAAGTTTGTAAGATACAAAATACTAAACTGTGTATAATGATTCAATATATTTACTAAATGACATTTTCCACATTTCATTGCAGCCTGGTGCTACCATGACGCATCCTGCAGTAAGTAATGCCTGCATTGAATGTTTTTTTCCCTTCACATTTCTTGCTAAAATATTCATGTTTTGCTTGTCCCCCCCCCCCAGATGCCGCTACCTGGGCAACCCAGGTCGCTCAGCATTGTGCTGGTTCTCGTCAGTCTCCCATCGACATCATGTCCAAGAAGGCCAAATACAACGCCAATCTGACCAGCTTCAAATTCACCAACTTTGACAGCAAGACCGCCCTGACCACCATCATGAACACTGGAAGAACAGGTATGGCTACACACATAATCTGACTATCCCTGTATTAACAACTCTAAAACAGCATTAGAAATACAAGAATCACAATGTAGGCCACTATTAAGAATTTAAGTGTACTTATAGAGCACTCGTATATAGTAGTAATTTTAAGAAATGTTATGTAGATTATTTTTTATTGTACGCATGCCTCATTCTATTTTATTTTTTTTACTTGTTTGCACTGAGAGCCATAGCAATTTCCTCGTTTGTTACTTCTTGTTACTAACAATGGAAATACACATAATTCTGATTCTGATTCTTCTCTCTTCCCCTGCTCAGTGAAAGTGGTCATTGGCAGTGGTGTGACAGTGTCTGGAGGGGGTCTGTCTGAAGCGTACACCAGCCACCAGCTCAACCTCCACTGGGGAAACGGCACCTCTGTCCCGGGCTCTGAACACACTATGGACGGCAAACGCTATCCAATGGAGGTAACTGCGTGCACACTTTTTATTCATCCACCCAGGGAATAGAACCATAATGTACTGACACTGTATAGATACTGTATAAGTACTGACATGCAGATTTCTTCTTTCAGCTCCACATTTTGAGCACGAAATCCTCTCACAAAGGGAACATGACGGTGTCTATGGCAGATTCAAAAGGATTTGCGGCTTTTGGATTCCTTGTTCAAGTAAGATGTCAAAAAAAAAACCACAAAACAATGAAACTGGACTGGATACATGTTGGATCATTTGTCGTTCATGTTTTGCAGGTGGATGAGAAAACAACAGGAAAACCCATGGCATGGAAGACTCTCACTTCTTACCTGTCTCAGATTTCTCAGAAAGGTAAAACATGACAAAAAGCTCAGTATTCTCAAGTTTTAATGTGTAATTAGTGTAAATACTCCGCTTAGGTACGCTTTTCTGTATCTATGGGTAGTTATTTTCAATGTAATTAAGTTTGACAAATTATCTTCACAATCTAAAGTGCTAGTTACCATAGCAACACACTGTTTACTTCCAATTGGTAGAATTTAGTTTTGCTATATAGCAGTTTTATTAATAGTTTTCATCATGTATTAAATATAATTACCAAATTACCTTTAATTTTAACTATATAGTAGTGAAAGCCTAAAACTGAAGAATTCCATCCGTCAAAATGACGAGTTTTATCAGTTTCAGAATGTTGGGAGTCCTAATGTATTGTGTAACTGATGTGTCCTCAGACCAGTCCGTTTCTGTGAGTGGGATTTCTCTGGATGAACTTCTGACTGGAGTGAACCGCAAGAGGTTCTACCGCTACATGGGCTCCCTGACCACACCCACCTGTGACGAGGCCGTGGTCTGGACCGTCTTCAAAGAGCCCGTCGTAGTCAGTAAGGATTTGGTGAGTCTGTCATACTCTGCTCTGTTTACAAGCCTAAAGAAATATGCATATCTAAAATGTGTTGTAAATATGGTCAGCAGTCTTTACACTCAGACTCCCAGAGCAGTCAATTTGACGACTTTTAGTTTCGAAAGTGTAATCACTCAGCTTGTGTAAAAAAAAAAAAAATGTAATCTTAGTTTCATTTTAATTCATACAGGCTTTCAACAAACTGTTTTTTTCTTCTTCTTTTTTTATGTATTTCAAGCTATATTCACAGTTTTTACACAAATGTACTTTTCACACAAAGGTACATTTGAATAAAACTTTTCAGAATTCCATTGATTTGAGTGGGAGCAGTCAAAATGACGGCAGTGGGTAGTTCCAGCAGTTTCAAAATGGTTAAAGAATAGACTTGGCTTCTCAATACTTCACAAATCGACCTCTAGCTGCTTGTTGGTTAGCTACATGTATTCATTTGCATATTTTCCTGATCTTGATTTTTGTTTTATGTTATTTTCCAGATCAACCTTTTTGCCTCGACCGTGCGGATCGGAAACGGCACCTCTGTGTACATGAGGAACACCTACAGGAGCGTCCAGGCCGAGCAGGGCGTCACCCACAGCTCCGGCCCCATGACCCGCCCCACCTTTGGACTCTTCCTGATCGCACTCGCACTATGGATGAGTTAAATCTGACTCATTCATAAAGGATAGAATATAGCAAACTGAAAAAAGAAAAAAAAGACTTTGTGTGTTTTATTTTGGTTCATACTGCTTTTGTTTTTTCACTGCTTTTTTGTGTGTTATAGCAGTTAAGTTGTTGATTAAATGTTTGAGTTCTGACGAGCGACATTTGATATGTGTTTTTTAATATCATGGAGCGAGAGGTTTTCTGAACAGCAGACACAAACAGAAGGATCTTCAGGAGGCCCGGGACTAAAAGGAGACATCTGCAATCAACTCTGGAATGATTTCATGCCAGTAACATTGAGTAATAGTTATTCTAGTTATGCTAACGTATTCAAATCTATTCATCTGTCAATATGCATAACATGAACTCAACCCACAATCACAAAACTCTGATTACATAAACAATGGTGAGGTATTAAGTGTGTGAATAAGTAACTCACATGAAAATAGATATGTCTGCGGAACAAGATGTCTGGTTTTACTTTAGCAAAGAACATAAAGTAGTGGCCAGATTCTCTTTTGAAATGACATAACAAATCAATCGATCAAGATGTTTAATTTAAAACCGGTAACACAATTCCACAAACCATAATAACAGACACAGCTATGAGTGTTTGGGTGAAGCAAACACATATAAACTTCCAAAGCTCCCTCACCCATTCTTTTGTAATCTGCTACTGGGCTTGAAGTTGAAAATCTTACTTTAGACAAAAATGAGTGGAGTTAGTTTGAGGGTTATTGCCAATTTAACCCTTGTGCTATATCCTCAGGTCACAGTGATTAAAAAATAGCCTAAATCAATTTTTTAGAGCTGAATTTTGATGATTTTTTCCTAACTTGACCAGCCCTGGAGACCCATTTAACCCTAATTTAGATTCATTTTATCATCAAAATGACCCAAGTCTAGCACAAGGGTTAAAAAACATACTGTATTACTTTGTTGCAAATAGACAATAGGCCACTGCCCTAATTTCTGCTTTCTGTAATCAATGGATATTCAAGTCAAGATTAATACTGGTTTAATAAAACACAAGCCACCTTTCATTTCTGCTTATAAAATGTCAAAGTTGCAAAGACAAACCACACAAACAGACCCTGCCCAGTATTTTTACAAGAATGTAGGAATTGTAAAATGTTTATTGACTTGTGTGTGCTGCCGTGGCTCCTTGTGTACAGTGTCTGCACAGCCCACAGCTCAGTGTTTGTGTCTGTTTTTACTGGACACAATTAACCTCAACATCAACACAGCGACATCCCTCAGGTTCAGACGCAGACAAGGTGTTCACACACATCAACAACACTTTTATAATAACAACATACTTTTAAATCCATCAGCCTTTGGCACATCATTAGTGTATGTGTGTGTGAGACCATTAGCAACAACCACAGAGCAGCTTTCTCAACACGGAGGTGGATTGCCCCTGTAGCAGCCAATCAGCTCTCAGCCCCCATTGTAAAGTGACGTATGCAGAAGGCTTATGCACTGGTTGAAAGGTTTTCTATTGCGATTAAGGATATTAGTATAATGAGAAAATGAACATACTTTTCAGAGGGAAAAACAGACTTGAACTGAGTAGGCTTATAACTGGACTCTCTTAAGAGCATGGTTTTCCTCCAACAGTGGCTCAGTTGGTAGAGGATTGGCCTGTGGGTCAAAAGGTCTTGGGTTTGATCCCCCCATGGGACCTACTCCAACATCTCCCACTCATGTCTGCTGTCGTTGTGTCCTTGGGCAAGACACTTAACCCCACATTGCCCGAAGCCCCCACTGAAAGACCAAGGCCGTGTCACCGTTGTTAGAGAAGCCATCTTCCCATGGACCCACCACCTGCAGAGGACCAGCGAGGGACTGGTGCTATGAGCATTGAGTGGCAGTTCTCATTGAAAAAGGGGTTGAAAATGAATGAATAAAAAGAATGAATGGTTTTCCTCCTCCCATTTAAAGTGAGATATTTCTTGAAAATTTCTCATGAAGTCTGGTTCTATTGGCATTTTTAAGGTAATAAAGCATGATAGAGACGTTTCCAGGAGGACATAATACAGTTGAGTGTAACTTTTGTTATTTTGTTGGTGCTCCTTGACTGATCTGGGACATATAAAGACATGTATTAACATTTATGGACGTTGGTCATCCATTGGTCCATAGGGAGCCATTGCTCACTATGGACCAATGGCTCTAATGTGTTTTTGATTATTTCATTTCCTGTCGATTCAAATCGAGTACATTGAGAAGTCTTCTGAGACGACTGCTGTTGTGATTTAGGGAAAAACAAAAATACATTTAAATGAATTAAAAGTCTGTCCTGGTGGTAGTGAGTGGATTGAGTGCATAGCATATATTGGCCAATTGTCCTCACATGCGTTGTTGTTATTCACGTAAGGTGTTGCTCTAAACTGTGTTTTTAAAGTCTGCCAAGGACACAGCGTCACATTTTTAGCTACATTTATGACGGCAGTTCAGTTGGTGACACTGCTAATAGAGAGTCATTAACTCATCAACATGTTGTTGGACAGTGAAGGACATCAAACAAACAAAAATAGAGTCCTTATAAGCAGCCCTACAACTTAATTTACAGCATGTGGTGTCAACATTTTCCAATTAGTTCAAGACGCCGCTAAAAGCATCGAGTCATGGAAAGAAAACTCAATCAAATAATGGTGACATGACATGTCATCATTGACATCACAAGGAAAAAGTTGGTCATAATCAGAGCTGGACATGTTCCTGCATAATGTTCCAGAGAGTGACATTAGAATCCTTTGCAGGCGCTTTGATTATTATACTGAAGACATTTCTGTTCCCTTGCTTATATCTCCTCTGGATTAGTGGTGTTCAGCAACCTCCAATACTCACCACTATGTACTGTGACTGCATGACGAATGGGATTTTTTAAATTATTGAATTTAATTTATCAAAAAAATGAAATCCATTTGCAATCTGGCATGTAACTTTGTTTTTATAGATCTTTTTTGGACACTCAGAGACGCTTCACATGTCATTATTCTTTCACTCCATACACAGTGGTGATAAACTACTACTGTATGAATGACTGAAGCGAGGAAACTCAAATGTGCCCCTCCGACCACCACCAACCATTCACAAACACACACCAGACTCATTCTAGGCAATGTGGGTGAAGCGTCTTGCCTAAGGACACAATAACAGTTTGGCCGCAGCCGTCCCACTGTGGCACCTGGTGTTAACTTCAGAGATCTGATGGGATCTGGCTTTCACATAGGTATGTCCTTTTGTACTCTTGAGTATTAGTGAACAAAATAACAAATACTATGCATTCTTCTTTCTCTGTTTGGCCTTAAACATGATTTTGAGAATATCAACTGGAATTTGATTAAACGGAGTAAGAGAAACCAGGAATGACAATCATCCCCATCTAGACAACATCTCAGCTTAGATCTAAAGTTAGAATGGCACGCTATACATTAAGGCAGTCAGTGGCTAAAAACACAATTTGACAGTGGAAATTCCCAAAACTAATTTTAGGCAATGCATGTGTTTGTGTCTGAAGTTCCTGAAATTAGAGAAGGAGGGAGCTCAAGTGGAACTGCAGGACTGTTTCTGTGAGGAACAAAGTTGCCACATAGTTGCATGACTGGGCTCCTTCAAAACCTCCAAAATATATAAAATGAGTATGTGTAGAGCTAGAACAACTATTTGCAACTAATAATCTTTTTTAAATGTTGTATTGATAACTATTTTAGAAAGAAGAAGGTCCTTATAGGCAAAGTGGGTTAAGTGTCTTGCCCAAGGACACAAGGACACAAGGACAGCAGTGGAGTTGTTGGAGAAGGTCTCGAGGTGGGCTCGAACCAACTGAACCACTGTTGCTAATTACCGGTGATCGTAAACTGCACACAGGCTCCAACATATAAAAAAAGGCAGGGAAATGTGATTTTAAGACTAAAACAGAGGTGGAATTTCATCCAAATTGCTAAAGAATAATTTAAATGCTTTTGTTATGGTAGATATTGAAACTATTCTGTTGGCATGTCCTCCGGTGGCCTCTCTCCAGCTTTATCTTACTAAGATCAAATCAATTCAATAATGAACCAACTTATCAAAAGAATACTTGCTAGATTACTGCATTATCAAAAAACCTACTTCAGATTATGTTATCAACAATTTTGTGCAAACTCCACAGAAACGGCTGTATTTTTTGTAAAGATCATAACAAAATAAAGAGTTCTATTACTTTTGAAAATGGAAATACAAGGCACTAATTAGGAGATTCCATGGAGCATTAGCAGTTGAAACGTCCCAGCATGCTTCGGGGCGGTCAGAGGTGTTCTTTGGTTTGGTCGTATTGACTGTCCCCCAGTGCCTCCGTGTTTACCCACAAACAGAGTGCGCCTCAAAGGTCGCTGTTTAACGTTTAACACAGATGACTGCAGGGGATGGCACCGCAGAGGAGGAGGGGGAAGAAAGGAGGGAGAGAAGGGAGACTAGGGGGGTAGAAGAGAAGAGAGAGGAAGGGAAGAGAGGGGAGACGAGGAGAAAGAGGGGAGAGAGCAGCGACGAGGGGGGGTAGAAGAGGAGAGAGAGGAAGGAGAGAGAGGGGAGATGAGGGGGGTAAGAGGAGAAAGAGGGAGGGGAGAGAGAAGACTGGAGGGGGAGTAGAAGAAAATAGAGAGTAAGATGAGAGAGGAAGGGGAAACAGGGTAGAAGAGGGTAGAGAGGAAAGAGAGAGAGGGGAGATAAGGGGGGGTAGAAGAGGAGAGAGGAAGGGAAAAGAGGAGGAGGAGGAAGGAGCAGGAAGGAGAGAGGGAACGAGAGAGAAAGAATTTTGAAGGGGATCTGGGAGGGAGTCTTGGAGGAAAATCTGGGCATCTTCCGCCAGACAGTGCAGAAAGTCCTAATTTTGAAGAAGAATTAAAAACTATGAAAAATGTATGTCATTACATGTTTTTTAATGAGAAATAATATTAGTAATATAAGTAAATATTTGATGAAACAGGTATGAAGGATTATAAAATGCTTTCTTCCTGTAACTCCCTCCTCCCAGGGAAGACTTGAATTTGTTTGCGTTTTTATGTGTTCATTAAATTTGAAAATTACCGGCTGCAAACAGAGCTGTATGATTGTAAAAAACTTCATTATACCAAAGAAATGATCAAAACTAATTATGGGCAATACTTCCAAGGGTTGGGGTAAGGGTTGGGGCTAGAAAGGGTGGAGTTACATGTTGGTGACGAATTCACCAAACATACGTCTCTCCATGCTTTTACTTGCTCTTTCTTATTTGACCAATGTCCCAAAATGTTTTACCCAAGTAGCGTTAAAAACATATATACAAGGTTTTAAATTTCACTCGACCAAACGTGGAGCTGAAGTCAGTGAAACAGTTGAGGCGAGATACTGAAAGAGGGAGGTGGGTGTCGGCCTAGAGAGACAGGTCAACACCCCATCGACAGAGTGCAGAGTGCAGTCCGAATCCTTTCATGGATCGTGAATTAAATTGATTTACCATTTTTTATTTATCAAAGACAACACACAAAACACACAGTCTTAAAAAACGACAATATATCATGTGACAGGTTTTAGCAAAAATTTTAGATTCCACCCATAGTCCCTGCACAAGTTAATGATATAATTACAGTCAGATAACGGATTGAGAGTCAGGATTTTGACGCAGCCTCCACAAACGACTTTGGAGAACAATAAATGGGTGGATAAATTAAACTAAACCTTTGAATATATATAACTTAAGCAACTATTTTGAACCTCCAGAATATATTTTGTATATTTTATGCACAAGACAAAACCTCAACACGACTGCATACTTCAAATTGTTGGTAACTATGTTCAAGCTTAAACACATGTCAAATTAGAGAAAAGCCAAACACCGAATCCATTTCAACAAACAATCAATGAATATATTGTTCTACAGAAATGACCATAAGAACAAAGCAGCAGTTTACATTGTAGACAAGAACCTTCCACCAAGGACACCAGAAACGTAATTATTGATAGTGTAATCTGTGTGAAAGTATAAACTAAGTATTCATTTTTCCTAACGCAGCTTCATTGTCTCCATTGCACAAATCTATGAGAACAAATCCATACAAAATGTTCAATGAAAGCCACATCTGCTATTTGATTTTCCCATGTTACGTCACAGAACTCTCAACATGGAAAAATGTATAGATTTTACATCATGAAATTCCTCGTCACTGGTTTTCCATGTCTGTTTGAACTTTTGGTTTCAAAGTACAGCACGTGTTTGTCGCCTGCACTTTATAATCCCGGAGAACATACCCAAGGTTGTACTGTAAAATAAAAAGATGATAATAAGATAAACTTCATTGATCTCACATTGGAGAAATGCATATGCCACATTTGGTATGAATATTGGACAATCAGTCAGGGTGTGCAAAAGACAGAAAAGAATTTGCAAAATGTTAAAAATTGAAGTAATAGCGTATTTTTTGCCCTTTATGCACAACAGCAGAATGGTGTACTGTGCAATTATTCATATATATAAAAAGTGGCATACATTTTGCCTTGTTTATAACCCACAAATAGTACCAGAACGTGAGCTGTTTCCATCATATAACACGTCTGTAAGGGTAAAATGTGTAGCAAAATATCTTCTTTAAATCACAAATTACAAAAACAGCTGACAACATTTAAAAGTCAATTTCAAACCAGAAAAGCAGAGTTCTTATTCCAGTTTTTTTCACCTGTTGTGTAAGCCGCCACAGGATAAATTGAACATCTGGTCAGGCTTAAAACCGTATTATTCCATGTGTGTAGGTACATTTGACAATAGCTGTAATTGCTTATGTGACCTGCAATAATATTTCACTGGTGTAAAAATGTAGCTTGAAATCATATTTACACAATCCCATGTTTTCTCACCACATTGGAAAAACAATATATACTGTATAGCACTAATCTTAGAATACACTCAAAATCCAGAAACCAAGAAATGCATGTTATTTGCATCCAACGACACGGGTTTGGCGGCTTTGTGCAAATAACAGGACCTCATGCAGACGCAGAGACGCATTTAGAGCTCAGCACGTATATCGCCTCATTAATTGCAGTGCTGCGTCGTGAGTAGGAGTTCTTCAATCAATCAAGCAATTTTTTATTTGTAGAGCGCTTTTCATACAGAAAGGTAAGTAAGTCATCATTATTCATATGGTGATTTTTGCTTTTTTGAAAATGCTTTACATGATTGGTGTATTGGTACTTCCCATTCCCTCCACACAACGTGACGACAGGGGCAAGACTCAAAACTCCCTTCGAAAAGACACAGGGAGAACATGCAAACACAGAAAGGCCCCATCTGGAGGTGAAATCGAAACCCAGGACCTTTTTGGGAACCCAAGAAAAACAAAGCCACCCCAAACATTAGACCTACCAACAACAAAAAATAGCACACAACAGATCCAGTCATACATCCGTTCACACACACACACACACACACACACACACATATGACTCTTTTGTCTAGGCAACAAAAGTGACCTGTTTTGGGTTAGGAAAGCCGCAATAAAGCCCTTTGTTTTGAAAAGGAAGTGAATATTACTGCAGGTCAGGATCTCTTCTTAATTTACTTTTCTGATAGTAAAGGAGAGAATTTTACAGAATTGTACAACGAGAATGTGTAACAGGAACTGCTAATCAGTCACTGATAATTCACTAGTAACTTTGTCACTTGTAACTTTACCTGTTATCAGTACTACTGCATTATTACATATCTGATAGTTCTGCCATTCAAGTCACTTTACCTGTTGATATTATTTCTGATGTTTATTCTGCTCACATTCATATTCTCATATTCTCCGCGGCTAATGTATAATATAGACATCTGTAAATACTTTTGAACCAAGTGCAATTATAGCCCAGAGTTTATCTCATTTTATTTTATTCTTATCTTAATTTTATTGTCTATAATCTTAAATAATAGACTTATTTGATGTGTGCAATCCGAGTGCTCTTATTTCCTTTCTCTGCTGTAATGTGCGTAACGATGACACTGAAATGTCTCCACTGTGAGACTAATAAAGGTTTATCTTATCTTATCTTGAAATATTTCTAAAAGGTCAAACACGGACCAAAACGTGTACTCGTAACTTGTGAGTGTTTTTCACAAAGGCTTCTATAAAAGTATTTCCTAAGACAGACAGTCATTCAAAATGCTCCATCATTCAAGGACACTGGGTTCTTGGCTCAATCCTCGGTGAATATAAAATAAATTGTGAGGATTTTTCAAATGGCGAGAATCATTTCAACATGACTGTCACTTTATAAGAGCTTAGAACCTTTATTATGTTATTTGATACTCGAACGATGCAATTTTCTGTATTCGAGGAACATAACGTTTTTTGGTTGCTTTTCCTTCTATAACAAAAAACAGTCACAAAGAGCCTCTCCCCAGTAACGCTGTGGTATGTCGTCCTTGTATGGTCGAAATGTAAGAGACAAAAGGATGGCAGTAATATCACAGACAGTATTTCACATTATAAAAGGTGAAATCACAACTAATAACTAAAAACTAGTAACTAATTCAATTCAATTCAATGGATTCTTGTATAGACCTAAATCACAACATCTGAGAGGACTTTACACAATTCGCCAGCACAGATCAGAGAATCAATCGCAAGAAAGAAAACATATTGGTATAATCACATTTGTATTGAAACTGTTTTTGTTGATCAATTTCACAGTGACAATTGTTTTACTTCTGTACTTTTAACCTTCTTTTTATGTATGTACTTGTCTGGTGCACACTAGGGATTTTTTGCAAACGTATTCGAATGTGGTTTTACTACAAATGGCAAAAAAAACCTAATCTGAATCTGTATTGGTCCATAAGGGGTAGATGACCAATGTCCATAAGTGTTGATAAATGTCCATAAATGTAGTTGAATGTTGAGTATTCTGGATTATCACCACTGTCCTTTTAGTTAAACCTCACAGGACTCTAACAGACCTGTTTTGGCAACGGAAAACTCCAAACCCAGTGGGAAAAGTGAGAAACTTTGGGGAGGCCCACATAGAGGGAGGGATCCACTTGTCATTCTAACAGCCTTCAATAATGCATGATATTTTGCCTTTTTTTAAAGGAGTAGTATGTCAAAATCTGACTAAAAGTGGTACGGCATTCTCCCTGACTCAGGTTGCCAGATATGCAGACGAATACAGCTGGGACCATGATATCTGAATAAAAAGTTTTGTCAACAACAAATCTTAAACCAACACTTTTGTCACAAAGACAAAAATCCTCGTTTTATTCCTTGTTTTGTCGTTGATGATTTGAGAATCATAACAAGACCTTTTTTAGTTCTAAGGCCACATGTTACTTTACCGGTGAGATTAGCTTGACGTGGTGAGTTCTGGCAACCCGGATCACAGACTTTCAGATTGGTGAAACGGTGGAGGGCGGGACATCGAAATGAAAACTATAACAAGATTGAAATCCAATCATCACAGCTGAACTTGTGCTATCAATTAAAGAAATATTGGACAGATTTTTTGACAGATTAGGGCCATTTAATGATGACTTGACACTAAAATCTTACATATTGCTACTTTATGTGCGGTACCTGTAAAATATTGCATTGACAACTAACCGGCCTTCTGGAATCCACATATTTGACCTTTTGCCCACCCTGAGACAGAGCATGGAGAATGCTTTCATGGCCACAGATTCATTCCGATGGGAGCGGTGGGTTCAAAATGCCATTAGGAACAATGTGGTGAACAGCGAGGTCAGCTCATTAGTGAACTGTGGCGGCCGCGGGAGGAGACGGGGCTGAAATAATTGTTCTGATTTTACGTAAACCTCTGGGGAATCCTGACAAGTAATCAGATGTAAT